TCGACGTGTCAGGGTGTGGGTTTTGTCCACACCCGACTCTCTCTCTCTCTCCCTCTCTATCTGGGCACATTTGCGCACCGCCCGACGGCACCAGCCAGGATGCACCGAAGGGCGACACGGCCGCGCTCGGGGCGCCTTGCGCGCCCTGCACGGCCCGCACGGAGGGGGGGCCAACTCCTCCGGAGGAGCCCAGGACACGCGTCAAGGAGGAGGAGGAGGAGGAGAAAGAAGAGGAGGAGGAGGAGAAAACGGAGGAGGAGGAGGAGGAGGAGGAGGAGGGGGAGGAGGAGGAGTGGGAGGAAGGGAGGGAGGAGGAGGAGGTGGAGGAGGAGGAGGAGGAGTGTCATGAGTGTCATAGATCCAAGAAGTGAACGGCGAGCGAGGCTCAACCGTCACCCTCGGCCTCCCAGACAGGAGGAAGGGGCCCGCAGGCGCCAGCACCGACGGTCAGGGGAAAGGCAGATACCTCGTCGCTCTCCTCCTCCGCTGCCCAACCGAGACGGCGTGGCGCGTAGGGGGACAGCCGGTTCACCGCGTCACCGCGCAGTACTTCCCGACCGTCACCCCTGCCGAATCGGAAGGCATGTGCAACTGGGTTTGTACCCCAGGGTGAGCGGACACAAGGTCCCAAGGGACTTACGGAACACATGGCCCCGCCTCTCAAGCCAAATGCACACTCCCCGTGCCTGGTACCCATCTCCAGGTCACGGGCGCAGCTAACGCGCCGCTGCCACGGGCAAAGTGCCACGTGGCTGGTGCACGAACGACGAAAGCCGGCTTATCTGCCCCCAGCCGCCGCATGCAAATGACACTGACAGTGTGCCCCGAGGAGTGTGTGGCGCTGACACCATGAGAACAGGTGCCAGGCACCTACCCTCGGGGCTAGGAGAAGGAGGAGGAGGAGGAGGAGGAGGAGGAGGAGGAGGAGGGAGAGGAGAGGAGGAGGTGGAGGAGGAGGAGGAGGAGGGGGAGGAGAAAGAGGAGGAGGAGAAGGAGGAGGAGGAGGAGGAGAAAGAGGAGGAGGAGAGGGAGGAGGAGAAAAGAGGAGGAGGAGGAGGAGGAGGAGGAGGAGGAGGAGGGGGGGGAGGGGGGGGAGGGGGGGAGGAGGAGGAGGATGAGGAGGAGGAGGAGGAGGAGAAGGAGGAGGATGAGGAGGAGGAAAGCGAGGAGGGGGGAGAGGAGGAGGAGGAGGAGAGGAGGAGGAGGAGGAGAGGAGGGAGGGGAGGAGGAGGAGGAGGAGGAGGAGGAGAAGGGAGAGGAGGAGGAGGAGGAGGAGGAGGAGGAAGCGAGAAGGAGGAGGAGGAGGAGGAGGAGGAGAATGAGGAGGAGGAGGAGGAGCAGGAGGAGAAAGATTGCTCCCTCATTCTCTCTTGCCATCGCTCGGACGTCCATTCCCCGTGCATGTTTCGGTCTCGTGCGTTTGGCTGTTCTCAAGATGCTCCAGGAGGCTTCGAAGATCTTCTGGCACGGGCCTCGCCGAAGAGACAAATGCACTCGTCCGAGCGATGCCAAGCTCTCTCTCTCTCTCTCTTTCTCGGCGGGGGCCCCTCTCTCGGCTCTCCCTCTCTCTTTATGTCTGCCTGCCTGCCCCTCTGGCCTGATACCCTCAGCCCCCCTCTGGACCACCCCCTGTGCGCTCACCGCCCACCTCCCGGTGGCGCACGCCCCTGGCCAAGAGAGGGGCGTGCCAGCGGGCGCGCCTCGAGGTTGGGAGCCTCGTCGTCCGAGTCGCTGTCGTCGCTCTCCTCCTCCGCGGCCTCCTCCACTGGCTCATCCTCGTCCTTCTTGCCCATCTTTCTGCCGCGGCGGGGCAGGGGGGGGGGGAATCGAGGGGGGGGGGAGGGAGGGAGGGACAGGGGGGAGAGGCGAGAGGAGAGGAGGGGGCGGGGAGGGGAGCAGGGAGAGAGGGGGGGCAGAGGCGAGCTGGGCGCGCTGGCGCCCGATCTGACGTCCTACCCCTCCCTCCCGTCCCCTGCCAGTCTGTTCGTATAAGCCAGCTCTCGAAAAAAACATTGACCCCGACAGGGCAAACGCCGCGCAGCACAGCACGACATAGCACGGCGTAGGAGGGCACGGCAGCGCGCAGCATGGCATGGCACGGTGCGGCATCGCACGAGAACCGGGGCGGGGAGGCGTGAGCCAACGCCGATGCAGTAGTTCTGCCGGCGCTGCCGCGAAAGCGCCACTCCACTGGACGGACGCCCCGTTGCAGCTGAGAAATGAGGCCACCATATGGCGGGGGTGCCATTTTGAAGTACCAACACGCAGGGTACTTACCAGGGCCGGGAGGCGCAGGCCGCATGCTGATGCAAGGGCACGACCGGCGCCGCGGCGCGAGTGCCAGCCCTTCGGACGCAGCTTCCGGCGCAAGCCGGGCGTGCGGCCTCAGAAATGAGGCCAGCGCTGGAGCCGGAGCACCGTTGCCAAGGGCCGGGACTTCAGACATGAATTGGAGGCCTGGAAATGGGCATCAACACCAAGACAGGGGGTTGCCTCCACA